GACCCTGGACAAAATGTTAAACCTCTGAACTTCAGTTTTCTAGTGTAAGAAATGCAAATGATTATAATATCTAACTTAGGTTTTTATGAGGACTAAAGTAGTTCATGTAAAATGAGTAGTACTGTGCCTAGCACATAATATTTTTCAATAAATGTTAAGATATAAAAAGGCAAATACAAAAAGGAAGCATTATACCAAAGGGGAAAAAATCAGGGGGCTCTGTGAGAAACGAGAGAGGGGTGACTAAACAGCTTAAAGAGCAGAGAGGTGAGACAAGCGTTTACAAGGCAGTGAGTACAGGGTTTTAATTTCTGCTTTAGTCACATGAGGTCTGCCCCTTGATTGATGACACTTGTTCCCTGTAGAAAATCCCTCACTGCATAAAAAAATGGAGTCCATGGGTAAGGGCTGGATGAGTGTGCAACTCTAACAGCATTTTTACTGTTCCGAATAAGAATTCTTCTCTGCTTTTCTGTCTATGCCAGGTAACTTCAGCATCTCCATTCATGAGCCTGTATCTGTGGCACCTACTAGCTCATCCTCATATATTTCAGTCCATTATTCTGTGAAAATCAATGAAACATATCCCACCAAAGTCACTGTGCTGAATGGCTCTGTTTTCCTCGATGTCATGGAGGAAGCTCGGAAAATAAATGAGGCTGCATTTCGGTATGTCTGTATATAACCTAAAGGTAAGGTTATTGGTGTGATTTTGAAAGACTCAGTAAAAATACCTTTGCACGTGAAAACAAGTACAGTTAAACACTTCTTAATCAGTATGTTTGTTGTCCATCTACATCTCATGGCAGGGGTCAAAAAATAGAGGTGAGACCTTGTATCTTATAGCATATAACAGGTATTAAATTAATGTTCACTTAATAGGTGAATAAGTCCCAGGGATCTCTCTTCAGTCAGTAAAACTTCAATAAATAGAACTTTTATGTCAGACATTCTGTGTCTAAAACAAGTGCTCTTAACAATTTTTTAATTACTGATCCCTCTGAAAATCAGATGAGTGGGTTGCTCATCCCAGTAAAATGAACATACACACAAAACATCATTTAAATCAGAGATCTCTCAAACACCCGGGAAACTCTCCATGCCCCACTCCTGCTTCCAGGAGCGTTAGGGACCCTTAGATTAATAAGATTCCCTGGCCTAGCGAGGTCAAATATTAAAATTAAGATACTGACTTTGTCTCTAAAAACTATGGTTATTTTGGATTCTTAAATCTGACAATTGTTTATTGTGTCTAATAACACAATATTGTGCCTATAATATAAAATCTTACATGATGCTACAGAGAAAAACCTATCAATGAAAATATCTGTGTGTACATACATTTTATATTATAAATGTACATATATAATTATAAAGGCTCCTTTCACGTGCTCCCAGGAAGAGAAATGTGACTAAAGAATGTGAAACAGACATTGACCATGTCCCTTTTTAATAAACACATATGAAATACTAAATGATTCTTTCCTGTGTCTCTTTCTTAAGAGAAAACCTACTAAATTATGGCTTATGGCACTGTAGGACATCAGGTTAACACTTTCACCTACCATTTTAGTATCTTTGTCAGTTACTCTCTTGGGGTAGAAGATCAGAAGTTGTTGACTGCAAAGTGTCTCCTGTGGCAGGAGGGAGGAACAGAAACCATGGGCATCATTTCTCTAATTTAGCATGAATTGTGGAGTGCCTGCACAGAATCATCTGCAGTGTTTATAATATATGCAGATTCCTGGTCTCAGCCCAGACCTATAGAATCAAAGTCTCTGAGAATAGGGCCAGGAAATATGCATTTGGGGGGGGGGGTGTAATATCTTCAAGTGATTCCTAGGTACATTGCTTTTGAAAATTCTAAGTTCCTGTAACCCATTCACTGTCCCCACAGTTTCACAGTGGTGGAGAGCTCTTGGGGCCCCTACGTCACCTCTGTTCAGGACTTGAAGGCCAACAGTAATGACAGAACCTACTGGGAACTCCTGAGTGAAGGAAAACCACTGAGCCAAGGTAAGGGAGAGTGTGCCCAAAGCCCCACGGTGTGAACATGCCCAGAGCATCCAGATGTGTGAGCTTCCGTGGAGAATGTGCCCAGGAACTGGGACAGTGATATCCATCACTTAGTGGCTGGGTGGTCCAATCGCTGGACCGACTTCTCCTTCTTCCTGTTCAGGAGTTGGTAGTTACGTTGTCCATGATGGGGAAAATTTGGAGGTTCGCTGGAGCAAGTACTAATCCACTCAGACCTTCCTCAGCTGGATCTAAGTCTCACGAAGTAGAATTCCATATGGAGACTGACCTCATGTCTTCTCTTCCATCTGTCTCGATCGCAACAGGGGAGTCAGTAACCGCCTTTTCTTTGCATGTTCAATAAATATCAACGACTGTACAAAAAGAGCATGTTCTAATCATTTCATTTTAAAAGGATATTATTATTATTATTGGAGGGAAGACCACCTCGGGAGGATGTGACATGAAAGAGATGAGACCACCTATCTAATAAGCCGAGTTCTACTCAAGTTCTACCCTGCTCGCCATCTGGGTGACCTTGGGAGACTGAGAAAAATGGAGACAAGGTTCTAGGTCTCATGTGGCAGCCACAAGCGTCGAGATCAAGTAGGGAGACTGAGCTCTGTGAAATCCAGATGCAAGGGACATATGGAGTGAGCCTCAGGACCGCATACGGTGGGTAGAGAGGAAAACACTGCTCTGCTCGAGGTGGGAAATGTCAGGTGTACACATAAAAGTCAGTCTTCGAAGTTTGAGCAAAAACATCCCCTCCTCCAGCTATCTCCCTTGGATCCCACTTGTTCTTCTCCCACATTTATTTTCCTTTTACTTCCCCATAAAAATCACCCTGATAGTCACGTCATCAGAACCTACATGAAAAATATCACCTCTGATGTTTATTTCAGCAGAATTCACATTAAAAAAGAAAAGTTGAATCCTATCTCAGCAACGTGAGCTGGGCTACACATTATACTGAGGATCTGAGCTACCTGAACATCTAGTCGTGAACCAGACAGGCCGTTACGGGGCCAAAGGGCAAAAGGTGCTTCAGATGAAGCATAAAGTCACCCATTTAAAGCAACCCCCAAAAGGAAAATGCCTTGAGGTAGAATGAGCTGAATTATTTTAGCAGCGTCTTTCTCGTTTCTCCAGTGATTTCTCGAGGATTTTAGCATCCTTCCCTCCACCAGCAACTCTCTGCTTCATACTCAGGGTTTGAACCTTCTTCCTACACACTGCTTTCTGGTACTCATCCTGGATTCGCAGGGTCGGCCCTGCTCGGGCCTCCATTAACTAGGTGTGACAGACGTCCTCATAACCAGACAGCAATGGATTCTGTCCTCCTGGGTCTGTGTTGCATCTTGAAAGCTAAGTCAGAGGTGAGGGGAAGCATGTCATCCCTTCCAGAACTCCATGGTACATGGTTAGCATGAGGTAGCAGCTGTCAGATCCATTTGTAGACTATACAGTCTATGTGAAATTGAAGCATAATGGTTTCAGATGACAGATATGCAAAATGTTAGAAATGACATTACTATCCATAATAAAATGGGTGGCCATACAGTTTATCATCCAACCATGACATTGTAAAGAGTGTCAGTGAACACGGTCAATAATTACATTTGAAAAAAAAAACCTGATTAAGAACTGGGACTATCAGTACACATGATCTGTTATGTCCATAAGTAAAAATAAAGAAGCTCAAGCAAAAATCTAGACACAAATATGTCAAAATAACAGAAAGTAATGACCCTGCAATTGACAAATAACAAAATGGGAATATTGTAGGTCCCTTTGAGATCCCTAACTCTCTATGATTCTAGCTCTCTTTCGGTAATAGTCAATGCCAGTAAAGCACCCAATTTGTATTAGACCTATTTTTTCAAATATGGTATAAGAGATTATTCTATACTGACACGAAATCAAATAAGATGCCATCATGCATCAAAAAGTCATTTTCCTTGCAATTCCTATTTAAATTCTCCTGATTGGACCTAGCACCAAATCTCACGTGACACCACTATGCTTCCTGACGCTTTCCTGCAGCAGCATCGTTAGCTTCCGTTTCTAAGAGAGAGAACTGAGTCTCTCGCAGCCAGTGCTCTCTAAGGAGAACGTGGTAACACTGCGGTCTGATAGAAATGCCTTTAATCTCAGAGACAGACATGAAGGTGAACGGAATCACATGCTCTTAGCATCCCACTGACGTGGGCCGGCGAAACCCAGCTTGGGCCACGCTTGCATTCTGAGAAGCTCCTCGGGCTTAAAACTGTTACAAAGTCCACACGGAGTCTGAGGGTTGAAACTTCTATCTGCTGTCAAAGAGTATTTGACACATATAAACCGTTCAGATGTCCAAAGGGAGAATCTGGGTGCTTCGATACTAGAAAATTAGGCACAGGAAGAAACAGGCAAGCAGGCAAGCAAGCAAACAAACCAATCGATCAATCAATTAATCGACCCAGTCAATAGTTAGCCAAGGACTGTCAAAATGCAGTATGTAGTTAAGAAACGTAGGGCCTCATGGTCTCTGTTCTGCAAGTTGTTTGCTAACTGAAACAACTGTGTGATAATCAGTCTTGCGACAACCATGGCCGTAAGTGGCAATTTATAAGGAAGTGTGTGTTTAAAGAGCAGGCACACCAAGATGCACGCGTGGATCCTCTCAGGATGGTCAAGAGCAGGCTCTGGAACCCAAGTTCAACACCATGCTGGGCTCTTATTCCTTAGATTCTTATTGCTGCTGTGACGAATCACCACAAATGTATTGGCTTATAACGAGATAAATGTATGATCGTACAGTTCTGGACGTCAGAAGTCTGGAATGGATCTCACTGGGCTGAAATCAAAATGTCGAAAGGGCTGTGCTCTCCTAGAGGTTCTCGGGGAGATCCTGTCTCCTTGCCCTTTCCAGCTTCCGGAGGATGCCCGCAGTTCCAGGCTCACGGTCCCCGCCATCTTCAAAGCCAGCAGCTGCGTTGTTCTGACCTCTGCTTCCATCATCACATCGCCTTCCCCGACCCTAACCCTCCTGCCTCCCTCCTCCTCCTGGAAGGATCGCAGAGGGCCCACTCAGACAATCCAAGAATTCCTCCTGTCTCCAAGGCGGTTTATCAGCAACCTCGATTCCAAGTGAAGCCTTAATTCCCTTTACCACGTAACCTAACACACCCCCAGTTCCAGGGACTGGCACGTGGACGCCGTGGAGCGGAGGGGGCATTCTTCTGCCTGCGGCTCCCTCATGTGGCATACCAGGTCCCACACCACGAAGGCCCAAACTGTCTCTCCAGTCTCTTCTCCCATCACATGCTACGTATCTGCTACACATTGGTGCGTAACATGTTATCCTAAAACTTTAGTGACTTAAAACAACATTTATTACCTCACGGTTTCTGTGGGTCAGGAATGAAGGGATTAACTGGGTCCCCTGGCTCGAGGTCTCTCACGAGGCTTTGGCTGGCGCTGCCTTCATCTTAAAGCTCAACTGGGGAAGGATCTGCTTCCGAGCTCGCGCACAGGGTCATTGGCAGGATTCCTCCCTCCACGGCGGTTGGCTGGATGCGGCTCTTAGTTCTTCGCCACATGGGCTTCTCCACAACGCAGATGACGACATGGCAGCTGGCTTTAGCAAAGCGATACGTGAGAAGGGCCAAAGAGAGACTATGACGAGCAGGAGGGAGGCGGGTCTTTTGTAACCTCATCTTATCACTTTTTCTGTGCACATTCATTAGAAGCGAGGCCAGCCCACACTCCAGAGGAAATTCCGCAGGGGGACAAACGTCAGGACACGGGAACCCAGGGCCACGTTAGAAACTGCCCGGCACACCCTAACACGTCACGAGACCACCACCATTCTGCGAGAGAGAGGATACTTTATAACCCATGTTTGATATTTGTTCACTAGTTGGTCCGTTCAGAAAGTTTTCAAGCGATACCTACTGTGAGCTAGCTAGGTGGTATCTCAAGGGCTGGGGACGGAGCAGTGAACACAGTAGACAAAGCGCCTTCCCACCTGGAGGAGACGCTCTAGTGGGGAAGGTCACGGACGATAAATGGACCACACACATCGTGGGACAGAGGGTGAGGAGTTAACAGCAGGTAAGGGGCACCTGTCTTATACACAATGGTCTGGGAAGGCCTCTCTTTGTGAGCAGAGACATGAGTGAAGTGACGGAGCCACCAGGAGAATGCGTGGAGAGAGCATGTCCTGGGCAGAAGGGACAGCAAGGGCAAAGGTGGCCGAACGATAAGAAGCTCCATGTGGCTGGAGCAAAGTGAGTGAGAGAGAAAGTGGACGGAGGTGAGACTCGAAAGGAAAGCAGGAGATAGATCTCACAGGGCCTCGTAGGCCATCAAAAGAACTTTGAGCTTTATTCTAAGGTGGGAGCCGCTGAAGAATGTCCCCCTTGAAAGGAGCTGCTTTTACAGAGAACAAACTGATGGTTGCCAGGTGGGCAGGGGGTTGGGGACTGGATGAAAAAAAGTGAAGCGATTAGGCTACAGCCATGACACCCTGAACAAGCTCCATCCCGTCTGATCTCGGAAGCTAAGCAGGGTCGGGCCAGGTTAGTACTTGGATGGGAGACCACCTAGGAAGACCAGGTGCTGTTGGTGCAAAAAATAAAAAATAAGGGATTGTAAGATGACGAGGTCTTTGCAGTCTGTGAGGGCAACCAAGGGTTGCTGTGCCTAAAAAAAAAAAAAATAAATGAATAAAAGAGATTAAAATACAAAATGCAGTTACAAAACGGTCATGGAGATGTAAAGTACAGCATAGGGAATATAGTCAACGATATCGTAATAACTGCATATGGTGTCAGGGGGTACTAGACTAATCGGGGGATCGCTTCATAAATTATAGGAATGTCTAACCACTATGCTGTATGCCCGAAACAAATATAATATTGAATGTCGACTATAACTGAAAAATAAGTTTTAATTAAAAATAAAAGGAGCTGCTTAAAATCCAGTAGTTAGAAAAAAATTAGCCCCCTCTTTATAATCTCAAGACATTTCCAGATCTCTGTTACAGTGAGGTATACTTTGCTTTATAATATATAGCTACATTTCTGAAATATGTATATATATATTTAATATATATGTGTGTGTGTGTATATATATATATATATATACACTTAACACTTAATATTAATATTCATTGATCCTGTGTTTTCTAATTACTTCCTTTAAAGATAACACGTGAAGACCCGGGGCGTTTGAAACTGCTTTCATCCCCAGATAAGGAAAGTGAAATCAAACAGAACTATTTCTGGGAAACTGGTCCACCGCTTGCCTAAAGCCAAAGAACTTCAAAGAGCCGAGGCTGGACCCCAGGTCATGTCAACTCCATTAATCGCAAGTCACCTGGCAGCTCCCCACCTGAGAGCCCCAAAGGGCATATGGTAAAGCTCGTTCCTCAAACCATAAAATGAGGCGATGCCTTAGCAATCACCCCAACCTCAGTGCAGCGGTTGCTGATACGCAGAGGCTATCTGCCCAGGTGTAAATGGCGGAGGAGAAAGTCTCGTTTCCACTCACACGTTAGCCAAACCTCCCACTGGAACGACCCAGGATTCTGGTAAAGGGAGCTTTGTTCCATTGCCTTCACTGCATACCCTGCCCAAGTTTCTCATATGACTGCGCTGCCTAGAAGTCACCTTCAGAGGCCTTGGAGGGTCTATAGTAGGTGAACTTAGATAAGCAAATGGAAATGAGCTCTCTCGGGGAGAGAGAGGTCAACATGGGCAGTTAGGAGTGGCTGGGAGAGGGGAGGAGGGCCTGCTCCACAAAGAAAAGCATATATAAGAGAAAGCAGAGAAATATTCCACTAGAAAACACTGGGATCTGTGGACGGGAGCCATGGACAGGACGGGAGAGAGAGAGACGGCCTGGTTTACCCTTTACCTCCTGAACCTTCTCTGGGCTACAGCTGGGACCAGCACTCAGACCCAAAGCTCGTGCTGTGAGTATGCTGTGTCTCCCAAGAAGCTCAGAGAGGCAGGTACCCTGGGGCTTGGCAGGGACCAGGCACCGTGGGGTCTGCTGATGAGGAAGAGGTTAGAAACAGCAGTCAGTATAGGAATTCCAACATGGGTGCATCAGGGTGTGAGAGTGTTGGTTCATCTTCCCTCACTTAATAACATAAGCTCTTCGAGATGCCAGTCTACACGTTTATACTGAGCGACTGAAATACTGTTACAGGTAGGACGGCTGATGGATGGTACAAAGACAGACGCTCAGTGGCTGTTCTGACCGGGCCCCATTACCAGTGGCAGTTTAGGGGTCTTGCCGAGGACAGGTCATATCCCAAATCTTGAATATATTCTCCGTGTAAGAGTGAGGGGAAAAAAAATGGGTGCAAGGGAATCAGTGATTTCCAAGAATGTGCTAGAAATCACAGGCACTGTCTGTGAGCCATATTGCCTGAAGGTGTTAAATGAGAAATCACTTTCTTAGAGGTAAAGGTTATTTGAGAAAAGGTTGGGAACAGCTGGCCTCGGAAGAAAGTCTCGGTGTTTTCTCCATGTCTCTTGAAAAGTCATCCATTCAGGGGCGTCCCTGAGGATAGCAATGCTAATCCTGTCTTCTCCTAAAAGACACGGGAAATATGTTTCTGAGAAGAGAAGGTGAGGGGTTCTGTAAATGGCTGTCTTTTCCCAGCTGTACCCCCGGCACAGCAGTCCTTGGTCAGTGGAATACAAGTGCTCATGGAGAACTCTGTGACCAGCTCAGCCTACCCCAACCCCAGCATCCTCATTGCCATGAACCTGGCCGGAGCCTACAACTTGGAGGCCCAGAAGCTCCTGACTTACAAGCTCATGGCCAGTGACGCAGCTGGTGAGAAGTCACAGCCCCTCCCTCCACCTAACGCTGTGACCTTCGGCAGGTCTCTTGATCCTGCTTAATCTCACTTTTCTCATTTGCAAAATGCAGGTGTTTCTCATAACCATAACACTAATAGTAATGATAACAAGGATAATAATAATCGAATATCTTTCTGCCTACCTCACAGGAGTGGCCTTGAAGCTCGAGTGAGATAATAAAGTTAAAATCATTTTGCAACCACGAATGGTCATCTGTGAACTCGTATGGGAGTTCGTGCTGCTTTTCTAAACAAATGCCAGGGATTCTTGGTGGAGTCGTCAAGTGACACAGAGGCCACTAGATTAAACATTCCTTAAGTATTTTTCTTAAGGAATACTTCTTTCCTTAAGGAAGATTTTTAAAAAGCTATCTAATCACATGATTAAAACATCAAAATGATCTGGAAAGAAGCAGAGGGCTCGTCCCAGCCCCTCCCCCATTCCCGCCTCCCCCGCCGTGCTCGCCCGCCTGAAGATGCCTTTAACCATTCTGTCCTCTGCACCACAGACCTGAGCGTGGGTGAGCTCGCCCTCATCATCATGGCTCTCACCTCCTCCTGCCGGGACCCTGGGACTAAAGTATCGATTCTACAGAAACAAATGGAGAACTGGGAGCCTTCGAGTAAGACCTCATTGGAAGGGAAGGGAGATGGGGGCAAATGGTCCTTCCTGAGAATTCTAAACCTAAAAAGAAAAGGATGGCAGAGTGGGATGTTAGGGAAGAGACGTGAAGGGCCTCCACTCAGGTTCCCCAAGCTAAGCCCACGGGCTGGATATTCACTTCCAAACCAAAATGAACGAGCGTCATCCCTTGTATTCCATTCTCGTGCCAGATGTCATTCTTACTCTGAGAAACACAGATGGTATCTTTAGCCAATATGGTGTCTTCCTTTTTGGACAGATTTTCTAACAATGTCTATTCAAAAGGTTTGGCATGTATTTTTTTTCACCCCGAATGTCCTCATGATGCTGAATGTCAGTCTGATGAAGGCCCTCTATCCTCTGCCGAGGCCCCAGCGCTGAGGCTCTGAGCTTCTATGGACCCAGTCTGGCGATCTTGGCACTGTGCCAGCAGAACTCTGAGGCGACCTTACCGATAGCGGTCCGTTTTGCCAAGACCGTGCCGGCCAGTTCTTCTACCTTTGATATAGGTAAGTAGGTCCCCACTCTCCAACTGCCCTGAGCTGGCACCATCAACGGCACTGAATGGCAGAGCTGGTGGGGAAAGTGGGAGGTGGGAGGAGCTGGGCTCATGAAGATGTCTGTAGAGGGGAGATACTTAACAAATGTTTGTTGGACACGTTAAGAAATAAATGAAAGGGAGATAGTAAAACCTAGAAACTGGAATAATACTTTTAACATCTGGCAGTTACAGAATCTCCACTGGAAACAAAAAACATGTCACCCAAGTCAGGAGTTGCTCCCAGGCAAATTACTAAATTTTTAAATCGAGGTCTAGACTCAGCCCTACCTGAACCCGCTCATTTATCACTACTGATGCTTCCACACTCTGCTCTTCTCCGTGCTTCTCCTCAGAACATCCAAATAGTCTCTGTTTATCAAACGGCTGCTCTCTGAATCCTGAGCCCATCAGGCTTCCCTTCAAGGATGCACCGGAGTCACCTCGTTCCTTCATTCTGCAAGCACGTGGCTGCTTGGGAATGGAAGCTTTTTCCTCTGCGACACCAACGCCCTTCCTCTGCCTACCCTTCTGCGTCTGATGATCCCTCCTCTGCATGAATGATCCCTCATTCATGGTCGCCTTTTCTCCTCTGCCACTCTCTCAGCAACAGCTTTCTGTCAGGATGTCACTCCCTGATACGTGCCTCGTCAGCAGCCTCTCTCATTTCGGCCTCATTCAGAACAAAAAGCAGATAGATATTTACTCAGGTACCCTTCCTGTGGGTCAAGAACAGACTGGCCTCCACTTCCCATCTGGGGTGTCTCTGCCAGTTCAGAAAATTCAGATTTTTTTTACACTACTTGTTTCAACGATGCAGTCCCCTTCAATGAGGTCACCTGACCTTCAGGGAGAGATTGGGGTGGGGAGGGGAAGGTCAACGAAAGAAAAATGCCACCTGGCAAGTCTTTCATTTGCCGGTTCTGGTCCTGTCATGACAGAGCTTGCTCATTCCATCCGCACGTGTTCTCCGGTACAAATAACAGAAAGGCCCCCTGTGCTGGGTCCTAAGGGGGACGCCAAGTCCCTTCCATCCAGGAGTTCACAGAGCACAGTAACGACAAAACCACAGAGAGTGCGCAGACTGCGAAGCAGGTACAAACAACAACTCCTCCAGGAGTGCAGGAGGGACTGCACTTGTGCCGGGATGACCAGGGGAGGCTTCGCTGAGAGGTGCTGATGGCCGGGGCTTCAAGAACCAGTGACCTTTTGAAAGATAAACATCGAGACAAGAGAAGGGGGATAGAATATATTGCTGGTCGACATCAATGAAAAGCATGAGCTGTGCAGTCATACGTACCTGGGTTCAGGTCCTGGTGCTGCTACTTGCTGACTTTGTGGCCTTGGGCAGTCACTTAACCTCTCTGAGCCTTCGTTTTCTCATCCCTTAAATGGAGATAATAACAGGTCCTGTCACACAGGTTGTCCTGAAGAGTAAAAGAGATAATGCACCTGGAACACGGTACAGGTCAGCTGTTCGCATTGTGGTGGTGGCTGTCTTATCTCCCTGTGATTCACAGACACAGAAGCAGTGATGACCTTGGCACTGACCTGTATGTACAACAAGATCCCTGTAGGCTCAGAGGAAGATTACAGAACCCTGTTCGGTCAGGTCCTAAAGGAGGTTGTGGAGAACATCGGCACGAGGATCAGAGAGAGTGGCCTCATCGGGAACATCTACAGTACTGGCCTTGCCATGCAGGTGAGGACATCGTTAGGGTCCGTGCCAATAAGATTGGACTGTAGGGTCAAGAGACCAGGCTTCTTCTAATACCTCTCGGAAAGAGCAGCTGGTGTACTTGAGGTCGATTCCCTGTGGTGCCTGGACCTCAGTTTCTCTACTGGTAGAATGGGGTAAGTGTTCATTCCTTCTCACCTCACAGGTAAAGTGTGAAAATGAATCGACATGAACTCTTTTCTCTTCCTTGGGGAAAAAAAAAAAAAAGAAATCCAAAAATGTATTGGTTTATTATTAATTACAATCAATTTGTTCATAATAATTATAGATGAATGAAAGTTTGACATATAAAATAATGAATTTTCTGATTCCATCTGGCTGGTCAAGTGTTCTTTTTTCAGCCCTTTATCTTGGCCCAGAAGAAAGACGGGCTTGTATTCAAAATGATTAATGAAAAGAGTCTAAAGCAAACTGGACATCAAATCTCGGCCATGGTCTATTTGAATCTTGATCTCATTTCAACCTCACAAAGAGCCCTAATAAATGGCAGAGCCAGGTGTGTCTGGTGGCCAAGTCCACACTCAGTCCTATGCTTCCTTAGCACAGATTCCCAGGCTTGGATTCTATAAGATGCTCTTGATATAGCTCTGAATACACCCTCCCCCTGGCCCGCCTTGATTAGGGCTGATTAGGGTAACATCGTCCTATGGAAGACACACCAGTGACAATGGGGAGAGATAACCAACCAGAATCAGAAACTAAAGGGTCATCTGTGGCCAATTCCTCTAGTCCAAACTATGAAGTTTGTGCTTTCACGTCTCAAAATTCCCTATGGAATTAATAGAAAAACTACATCATGATTTTCTCAGCTCAGAAAGCCCAGGAAACAGAGACCCGTGGAGTTAAGAAACCAGCTCTAAAGCTAATATAGCTCTGAACTAATGTTAGAAAAAAAAAAAAAAAATCCTCCTTGGGGGCTGTGGGATGGAGACTGGTATTTATATTTCATGCATTAAAAATTAGCAAGGGGTATAAACCGACTAAAAATTAGTTGGTGTTAAACATGAGAGTCAATACAAAATCCCCACTCTATACTACGGCCATGCCATCCTGAACAAGCCCCATCCCGACTGATCTCGGAAGCTAAGCAGGGAAAAAAAAAAATCCTCCTTGGGGGCTGTGGGATGGAGACTGGTATTTATATTTCATGCATTAAAAATTAGCAAGGGGTATAAACCGACTAAAAATTAGTTGGTGTTAAACATGAGAGTCAATACAAAATCCCCACTCTAGTCTACGGCCATGCCATCCTGAACAAGCCCCATCCCGACTGATCTCGGAAGCTAAGCAGGGCTGGGCCTGGTTAGTATTTGGATGGGAGACCACGTAGGAAGACCAGGTGCTGTAGGCATTAAAAGAAAAAAAAAAAAAATCCTCACTCCAATGTGCCATGTACAGGAGCAACCGGTGAGAACAAAGCCAGTTTCCGTCATGTCACGGTCAGCGAAATTTTGCCGTGGAATAACACTCTTCTGGTACCATGGCTGAATCATACAAGACCGATCCCGGGGCTCAGGTCTAGAAAGCTGTGTGGAGGAACAAAGGCAGTCTGAAAGGGACGTAAGAAAGGCCTTAGTTATGACTCCCTTAGAATAACCTTGCTTCACCTGAGTGCAAGACAGAAGTGTTTGCTTCTGCCTAATGTGTTTGCTTTGGCTAATGTGGTTTGTGAATTCTGTTTGGGATTTTATCGCCTGCAGGGTACACTCTGATAAGCTGTTCATGAGAATTAAAGCTTTGCCTATGAAAAGACAGGACCTCATCCATACCCAGATAACACAGGCCACGTGGATTTCTTGCTGGTTAATGATACAAAGCCTCCCCCTCCCCGCTTATGTCCCATATTTGGAGTTTACCCAGACAGCCTGAAGTCTGAAACCACTGAATGTGTCTAATCCGAATGTCTAATATGTAACCTTTTTCTAATCCAAAATGTTCTGTTCTGCTGTAGAAAAGTAAAGGGCTCTGGAGCTATAACTACTTGGGTTTAAATCCCAGATCCGCCACTGTCTTAGGCAAATATTGAATTTATCTGAATTTAATTTCCCCCATAACAAGGATGCAAAGGTATTGAAAAAAACACACCACAGGCACAACGTAGTGTTGAATAATTGTTCACAGTCTCTCCCAGCAGAAGAGGGGTGACATAAATCTTCCTATTCAGCCTTTACTCACCATCCTCCAGGATATCAGTGCCTCTCAAGTGGCATAGGCCAGCGGTCCCCAACCTTCGTGGCACCAGGGACAGGTGCTCCTATGACGATCTGAGGCGGATTTGAGGCAGGGATGCTGGCGCTGGGGAGTGGCTGCAAATACAGACGAAGCTTTGCTGGCTCGCCAGCCACGCATCCCTTGCTGTGCGGCACGGTTCCTAACAGGCCACGGACTGGTACCAGTCCGCGGCCTGAGGGTTGGGAACCCCTGGCCTCGGCCACCCACATTGCTTCCCAAAGGCACTCATGAGGCCTTTCCTCTGTTCCAGAGTTTCCACTCTTTCTTCCATCGATATGCTAACGTGTTCAAGATCCCTGTGATAGGAACTTGACTTGGAAAGGCATCTGATAAAGCTGGGTTATTAACGCAGTTATCGGTGACTTCTTGCAGCTTCACGTTCACTTCTCTCTAGAGAGCTGGCGTTGGAAGTGCGTTATCTCAAGGGGATACACCTCGCTTAGTGGGATTTGTGGGGTGAATATGGCCGGCAGACAAGGCATGGCTGCTGAGGAGTACCTGCCTGGTGCTCCTAAACCAAAAAGGGGGCTCTGGCAAGAGCCCTGGTTCAAGGCCACCGAGGTTAACGGAGGTTAGCAGTGATGGTTGTGTCTGTCCAAACTGCCTAATTGCTCACGGTACTGCCTCGGGCTCCCAGAGCCATTTTTGACTCTCCTCTCCCTTCTCCCATATCCCATCTCAAGCTCCAGATAAATCAGTCATCAGCGATGTCAGCCCATTAACACGCTCTGGTGGCCGTGGTCATCACAAGTGTAAGGGGAGGGAGGCGGTCATGATAGCTTATCTGCCACACAGTACAAAATGACTGTGCGCATCATCCCATCTGAACCCCAAATGACACCCCCTAAAGCAGGCAGGAATTTTGGTTTCTATTTTGCCCATGAGACATAAAATTCAACAAAGTAGAATGAGTTCCTTGTGTCTTGAAATCAAGTCTCGTTTTGCAAATAACAACCACCCAAATAATCTTTGCTTAAGAAAATGGGGACTTACTATTTTACATAAACTGGGGCATCCAGGGCTGGATTAGGTGATTTCAGGATGAATCAGAATAAAGGGCTCAAATCATATCAGGGACCATTCTTCTCTTCATCTCCCACCCCCGGTATTTTCTCATTCTCTCCTGCTCCATAGCTTTTTCCAGTGGCTGAGGGAGATGGTCACCAGCGGCTCAGTGCTCACTCAGACGGTACCAGCCGAATTACCCCAGCGGAAGGGGAAAAGGCTTCTCTCTTCCAGTGTCTGTATATCAGGGAAAGACTCTATTGGTACATGTGCCCACCAATCACTGTCACCAAGAAGGTGGCACTCCATGATTATTCCAGCCCAGGCCTGAGTCCACGCCTGTGGCCAGGGTGTGAAGCCTCTGGCTGACAGTGCTGTTATGATCACAAAGCATGGGAGGCGTCCACCAGGGGGTCTGCAGGACAATGCCAAAACGTAAGAGGTGCATTCTGTTTAGATGGCCAGGTTGTCCTCGTCTGAAGCTCCGCTGGAGCTTGCTTCACCCAGCTCTTGCCCTCATTAGTAAATATAGCAGCCCTAACAGTGTGTCCTGCAACTGAGTGCTGCACAGATTTTTGCTGTGTGTTTACCATGTGGCAGACACCAAGCTAAGTGGTGCGGATGAAGCAGTAAACAACAAAGACATTGTCCCCATGCAGCTTCAGTTTGGACTTTGGGTGACCACAGAGATTAGTGACCAAGTCTATCCCTTAGATAGACTTGGCATATGAAGGCTACACCTAACTCTCTCTCTCTCTCTCTCTCTCTCTCTCTCTCTCTCTCTCTCTCTCTCTCTATCTCTCTCTCTCTCTCTCTCTCTCTCTCTGTTTCAGTCTCTCTCTG